CCTTCCCCTTAACAGAACACGCATATTTCTCCCACTCTTTCCACATAGGCCACGCCTCTCACTACCCCTATCGGGCTGAATCCCCTTTTTCACCCTACTCCATTTGAAAGGTTTTCGGGTAAGAGTAGGAGTGCACCAAGGTTCTGCTTCAAGCCCTTACTTATTTTCTATAATGATGGATGAAATTACTAGAGAAACACAAGGAGAGGTGCCGTGGTGCATGTTGTTTGGTGACGATATAGTGTTTATTGGAGAAAATATGGAGGAAATTAATCATAAGCTAGAGGTGTGGAGATCAGCTCTTGAAGAAAAGGGTTTAAGGATAAGTAGAACTAAGACAGAGTATATAGAATATGAGTTTAACAAAGGTGAACACAAGATAGCTGAAATGAGGAGGTCAGTGACAATAGGCGAGGACTTGATTGGAGAGTTGGAGAGTTTTAAGTATTTAGGGTCAGTTGTGTAAAAGTGTGGTGGTATTGACGAGGATGTAAGACACATAATTAAGTACGGGTGGTTGAAGCGGAGAGAAACTTCTGGCGTCTTATGCGATAAAATAATTCCAATAAGGCTAAAAGTTATATTCTACAAGACTGTAGTGAGGCCAGCTATGATGTATGGTTCAGACTGTTGGGCGGTTGATAAGAAATTAGAGTAGAGAGTGAAAGTAACAGAGATGAGAATAGACTTAGATGGTTTGGTCATGTTACGACAAAAAAAGATTCGGAAGCCGTAAGAACAGTTGTAGAAAGAATGTTGAAGGAAGAAGAGGTAGAGGAAGACTAAAAAAGGGATGGAGAGATGTTATTGAATGCGATAAGAGGACAGCTGATGTGGGAGATCGTGTCAAATGAAAGTTTAGGATAAGTGTGGCCGACCCTAAGTATCTGGCATTAAGGCGAGGAAGAAAAAGAAGATATTGTATTCACATTTCAATTTATATAATGCTTGTTTATCATGTTTGTCAGTTGTATAATTAACACTTTTTAATACTCTCAATCGTATTAATTTAGTAAATTTTATTATATTTTTGAACTGTATCTTATTTATATTACATAAAAAGTGTCTATAATCTTAATATTGAATTTATACTTGGAATTTTCCAAGTCAGCTTTTTGATTATCGTATTTATACGACAACTTCGTCAAATTGACGAAAGCCACCAATTTTCCTTTCTTTTAGAGTCTTTGGTTTTTAACACAACTCCTCGCTCATCAATTACGATTATATCTTTCTTCAATTCTCTGTAGTTTTTAATAATGGTCAAATAATTGTAATAATTATAAAAATAATTAAGTTGAATAACTCATAAGGTATTAATAAGTTTATTTCATATATTTCGTATAAGTAAAACACATTTGTTATTCAAGAGAAACAAAGAAATCTTGGAATTCTTTTCCACCTTTTGATATTTCTATTATTGGGTGGTGGTTCCTTTCACCTTTTTTCTCTACTATTTGTCGGAAAGACACATGTCCCTTTGTTTTTTTTACCAAACTAGTGTAAAAGAATGAACAATTTCCCAAAATATCACACCCTCCTGTGAGTTTTAAATTCAAATCCCTATTTGAAGCGTAATGTATTAATGCAGCTAATTTACATTTATGTTTATTATCATCTTTGCACATTGTTTTGCCATCTAAATTAGAAAAAAACTAATATTAAATTTACAAATTAACACACGTAGTATATTAAAAAAATATAATATTGTTTACAAAAACATATAAAAATTAATGACATAAGAATATAAAGTTATAAAAGTTATTTATATTCAATCTATCGATTTTAATGTAGCACTCAAATATGAATTACCATTATTATGAAATAACGTCCGAACAGCAATCGCCTTTACCAAATCAACACGTTTAGAGACAGCAAGGCTATAGACAACATTTTCTAAAAAAAACATTATAAAACATAATTTAGATTAGTGACAGTTACTTTCGAAAAGCTATAGAAGTTATTCAGGACTTCGAATTTCATATTTTCAAATACAGAATTAAAACCAAAAGTAATAAATAAACACGTTAGACACTTTTTTAAATCCCATCTATATTAATATTTAATTTAATTTTACCTTTTACATAGTCCAGGCAATCGTTAGCAATGCTGTCTTAAAAAAATATTTAAAAAAAAAATTAGAAATACGAGTACAGTAGTATTATTTGTAACGGTTATCGCAATATAATTTTCAACTAATTACTCACTATTCAATTTTAAAAAATATGTCTTTAAAATTTCTTGCAATCTAAGCTCACAACCATAGGTATGATCTATTACTTGTACTATAATGTATTATTAATTATTAATAATAAAAATTAATTACAAAATTATACACACAGTGTTATAATATTTTGGCTTAACACTTATTCAAAAAATGTTTGACCCAAGTTCTTTCGAAATTATTAAAATAATTTATACATTTATACATTTTAAATGATTTTGATCGTTTATAATCGGGTGGATCGTTACTCGGTTTTCATTTGTAAAATGTTTAATGCAAAGAAATGTTTTACCGAATACATCTTCAAATTTTATTATAATTGAAGAAGTAATTTTTTTTGGACACTCGATTACTTTTAATTATAATTATGGCTAGGAATTATGTGCTCTTATAAAGTTTGTTAAGTAATTCTGAACGCACCATCAGACAGTACAATTTTTATTAATTGACTTGAAAAATTAGTAAATTGTTGTTATCAAAGTTTTACTTTTGGAGGATTAGGGGTTTTAACCCCCTCTAGAATAAAAATTATTTTTAAAATACTATACATACAACCCTATGACAAAGTTGAAAAAAACTGGGGCCCTTCAAAGCGGCCCAAACAAACTTTATAAATACATAAAATTTCTAACCCAAATAATAATTATATGACGTTAAGATTATGTTTTAAGGATTATATTAGTGTTATGTTATGGTTATAAGAGTTATATCATAAATCAAATAAAATTGATGGTTTTACACAATTAAATTTTTAAAAATTAATTTCTAACAAGGCTCCAAAACAGAAACTATTAGAGCTAAAATATTATAACTTTCTTGGTTTTAAAATTAATGTTTATCAAAAATATGAAAATTTTAAATTGTATTACTAATTTTCATTAAGCAAAATATATAATTGTATTAATAATTATTAAAAAAAAGTTATTAATTTATATTGTAGTTTTTATTTGGTAATAACTACGGCTCCGTTGCTCTGGAAGACTGATGTATCGTTTATGTTAGATACAATTCGTTCTTATTTATTGAAGGTTGGGTTAAAATTATTGAATAATAATTACAAAATATGAAGAATCAAATTATCGTTGAAAATTTGTTTTACCTATAAGTACATTAATGTTCGGATACAATGGAGCTGAAAATTAAAAAAAATGTTATATATCTCAATGTCACACAAAATTATGATTATTGTTATGTTAATTTTTTTTTTTTTTTTTTGAAAAGGAGATTAAATTTTTTCCTCCAATTTTTGTAGTTTTGATGCGAATCTAAATGATATTAAATTTACCATTTATTTTTTTTTTTACGTCTGTTATACAAAAAAAATATATTTATTTTAATAGTATATAAGTCGCGTAATCGAACCTATCTTAGCGAATGCTATAATAGGTGTAAACACGGGGTATTAGTGACTGCCACTCTTTACCTAATACCCGTACTGTGCCTATTTTTTACATGATTTTTGGTATACTTTCAGTGAATGGTTGTCTATCCCCGGCAGCCATGTTAATTTTTTTAATAAGAAAGTAGAAATATATAACATTTAAGAGAGAGTATTACACTAATATCGTCAATCGTGGATATAATAAGAAAAAATAGACTTAGACGGTTTACTCATCTTATTAGGAGTTAGGAATGGAAAGCTGTAATAAAAGATATAGAAATGAATTTTGAAGGAAAAAGAGGTAGAGGAAGACCAAAAGAGAGATAGAGGGATGCTATTGGATGCGATATGAGGACAGATGATGTAGGATATCGTATCTAGTGGAAGTTTAGAATAACGGTGCCCAATCCCAAGTAGTTTGAAAAAAGGCGAGGAAAAAGATAAAGAATAAAGTAGAAATTCATCTAATAAATAAACATATAAAATAAACCAAAAAACATAATTATCAATATTATTTTTATTTTTTAATTATTTATGAGACCAATGGTTAGACAATGACTTTGTATTTATTTTTATTATAATGGTTTTATCCTCCATACACTTCATGAGAAGGGCCATGAAATTCATGATAATAAGTTAGTGGTGAACTATGAAAAAAATTACTAGTGGAATAGCATTTTAAGTGATCTGGCATGAACTTCAAAATTTTATTTAAAAACACAGTATAGTATACTGAAATATGTAAAGTTGCCCGACAAGAAGTTTTCCGGTTTCTGTTTAACCCAGTTAAAAAAAGAAAAGCAAAATGAGTTCACATTTTTTTCAAATTAACGCCTCCTATTAAAAAGAAAAATTTGAAAGATTTTTTGAGTGATTAAATTGGTTTTAAAGTTGATTTTAATATCAAAGACATGTTTACATCTACTTTTGAAAAAAATTTCAATTCACACTTGCCCACTTATAGCTTCGATGCGAAGCTGAGAAGGTATTAATTTTACTATGATGTGTCTTGTTAAAGGTATTTTTAACGGATAAATGGACATTTTTATTTATATAATATACTGTGATGTAAAGAATGGTCTAAAATTAAATTGATTATCATTTTCAATTATGAGTGTTAATAAATACCTTGATTATCGTTTATCTCGATCAAATCTGGAATATTTACAAATATAAAATAAAGTATAAAATAAAAATTTTAAATATTTGTAATACCATTTCACAGGTTATTTACTCATTAAATTTATTAGCAAATTTTATATTTATATATGTTTATGTTATATCACTCCAACAAAGAGCAAGAAGTAACTGGCACCAGTTTTTTGTTGTTAATATTTTACTATTAAATAATACATTTTATTGCTAACTATATAGATTTGAATTTTTAATAACAAAACATAACAGTACATTGTATTATTATAGAAATGAGGTGCTATTATCTAATTCGATATTCGATCACTTCAGAATTTTTGATATTATCTAATATCATTGAGAAAATATTATACAGGTGTTCAATAAGTAAGATAATAGATCAATTGTTATAAACAATTAGAACAATATAAACCCGTTCCCTTACTTACTAAACACTATATATCTAGCTCCATGATACAAATATTTAAATACAATGTTATTTAGCATACCAAACATTTCTATAAAGTTAGAATTAACTAAATTCTAACAAATTTTCATTCCACTCAAATACACCAGAGAATTTTTTAGGTTTAATTCAAATAATTTTTTAACTACCATGTTAAACCTCTAATCAAACTATTTTACAAATTTAATCTGTGATAGTGATATTGCAAATTTAGGAAGATTGGTCCAACAAAAAATTGTTTTATTTGATATATTTTTACATTAGCAACTTCTAACTGATTTTTATAATATACTCACCCCAGGGGAATAGAAGTGATTCCAAAACATCTAAAATGAAAAAAAAAATAATCAAAGTTTTCTTTTATATTATTAATGATAAAATTATACTTTTATTAAACCACGTAAGTAAAAAAATATTCTTACTATGCTTATCTTTTTTTGTGGAGTTTAAAATTAATTCCATTACTTTAGATCCATCTAAAAATGAATAAAATAAAATATGACTTTGAAAAATGTTTAATATTTTTGTAAAGTTTTGACTTTATATATAGATATTTTTGATAAAGTATTACACAAAAGAATCAATTAAGGATAAGTCACTCATTTTCTCGGAAACTATTGAAAATTTTAAATTTTTTAAAGGTAATTGTTCAAAAGTTTTGTATGTAGCTTGGTCATAGTTTTAAGTTACTTATCCTCACCAAATTGCCTGTCCGCTTAGCTTACGATACTTCGACTGGTTGTGTGCGGCACTAAGGGCAACTAGATAGTACGTGTGTCGAATTGAGTTATGCGTACCTTTGGTTTACTGACACTTTGCAAATGAGCTGGCGTATTTTTTTGGTGGTTGGTTTGTATCGGTTGTTTAGTCGAAAAACCAACAGTTCCTCTCATTTTTCCGCTTTAATTGGGAGTGGACAATGATAATCAGAATTAGAGGAGGCTGATATTCCATATCTCTAAGGAGTATTTTGAAAAGTGTTCGGTGGGCTATAAACATCATGTGGTGGGGTAGTTTGCTGATAGCTGGTTCTAACATTTTTGTTAATGTATTAATATACTAAATCTGTTAATTTCAGTATGTATAAATAATAAAATCCTGTCTGTAATCAACATTTAATGAATTGTCTTCTCGTTGTTCGTTTTTCAAGTGTAACAAACAAACATCCAGCCTATCTCTTATAGTTTGAGAGGTGACGACTTTGGCCACGCAACGGATTGTGGAGTCGCCACCCTCATGGCTCCCTTGCAAAAAGGAAAATGG